TCCTTTGTTCACCTTTGATGTGCATGATGATATTCGCCTAATAAATGATGCGTCTGTTGAGAAGGAAGATTCCCACGCAGGCAAGGTTCTGCTACGCAGCTGGTATGAACGTAATAAGCACATTTTTCCTGCAAGTCGTTGGGAACCATATGACCCTACAAAAAGTTATGACAAGTACACGGTGTCAGATCGCGGTAACAAGAAGTGAGGAGCATCTTCTGTAAGTCTTTTAAATTTGTTTTCTGTCTGTGAATGTTTATAATTTAATTCTATATTAAAAGTTTTTTAATTTTTTGAGATTTTGGTTTTTCATTGTGGTGAGTATGACGATGACATCATTTTTACCAATGCATCCATCGGTATTTGGCTCAAATATTTGAATGAATACATATGTCATGTTTATAAATTACCAAAGAAAATGTTAGAATTATTATGAAATTATGTCCCTGTTTAAAAATTGTATGCATTTTTTCAATGTAGGATGCAGTCAGTTTGGAATTGCGCTCATCATAGAATTCTACAAATAACATTGGGAACTTTTGCAATGTGTGAAATTTGCATAATGAACTTTGAATGCTGAGAGTGGTGCATTGGTTTGCAGAAGGCTGATGGAGTAGTGTGAAATTTGCATAATGAACTTTGAAAGCTGAGAGTGGTGCATTGGTTTACAGAAGGCTGATGGAGTGTATTAGTCATGCAATAATTTTAAATAATAACTACTAAGTTATTATAAACACTGTAATAATATAACTGCATACAAATTTGTTGTCTTTGTGGTTGATATGAATTTGTATTGTAAATCATCTGTTATTTCTTTGGGAATACCAAAGAAAGAAATGTACACATTTTGATACAATATGGATAGCAAGTTTAATGTCAACTTTGTTTCATTGCCTAAGAAAATCATTAATAAGTTGATGAAATATCTTCTTTGTACTGAAAATCCATTTATTTACACCTTTACCAAACATTTCCTTCAAAGGAAAGTTCCTGCAGCAAGTAAGGACTACTGCCATGTTAACTGAAAGAAGTTTTCATGTTTATTGTTGTGACTGATGCAAACTACCATGCTTTTAGGGACTGGAAGGTGTTTTTATTTAATGGTGCTGCACTGTAAAACGTTACTAGCAATAACCCAACAGAAAATACATTTTTAGTGAATTACAATGTGCTGCTGCAACAAACAGTTCTGCTAAAGTGAAATTCTGTTATGGTCATTAGTGAGTTACTGTTGACAGCCTGTAGATGACTGATTTTTTATTAAAAGCTCATGCCAAGGAATGTCAATACATTCCTGACATTTAGTGTGCTTTCTGGGTCAAAACACTAAAAATACTAAAATCTGAATGGTTAAGGCTGTGGGCTACAAGCAGATTCCTATAGTGTTACTATGACCCGTTATAAAATTGCCAGTGTTGTGAATTATGAGTTAAACTAACCAAACTTGACATTAATGAAATGTAGTGACGTCTCGAACTCTGCCTGTACACAGTATAGAATTTTGTTCAAGTACATCATTTATTAAGTAATACAGTGTACTGCCCGTTAAATTTTTGCGGGACGGAGAGGCTGCATGAAATTTACCGATGTATGGGAAAAGTAACGTCTTCTCTTCCAGCATAGCCAACATTACAAATAACACCAGTGAGTACGTTGTTCAGGGAGGATATATGGATTTACGAAAATGAAAGTCGAGTTGTATAATGAAATCCTTGAAGAGATAAAATCCTTTAGTGGACCAGGACGAAAATGTGGACTGTACTTACAGGAGAAATTTCCGAGGTATGACGTAAATAAATAAACTGTGTTTCTCGTGTTATTTTATTTGTATGAATGTATGTGGTTCATTCTTATGTGTAGTAAGGTCCAAAGCACTCGATATTACATTACTGTTACCCGCAAGACCTGTAGAAACTATTGGTTTGTAATATAGTTTGTTTCCACTGGTTGTCTATTAAATATTTCTCGGTTTGCATGCACGTGGTCAGCCAACTGGTCCAAGCACATTTATTGTTACAGTTTCTAACTGATTTCGTTTATTATTAATTATAATTTTGGGGTAACCAGTATATTTTAATTAGTTTAGAAACATAACCTGACTTCAGGAATGAAGTCTGCCATATGCCAGATGTGACGAAAAGGAGATTCATAGCTAGGATTGTGCTCTAATTGCCTGTACCATGGGGTGTGCAGCCTTTGGTCTTCTTAGAATGGGAATGGGATGTATAATGAGTTTCCAGAGCTGTCATGGATGAGAAGATGAACTTTGCAGTATGGTGACCATGCCATTTCAGCCCATCTACTGCCAAACTAGGCATAGACTTTGTGATGCTTTTGTTTACTACAACCAACATACATAGATTAACTGAAAAGAACCTGTTGCTCCTATTGCTCCTATACAGACAAAAATATTTGATCAAACTGTACTAACACACCCACAGACATCTATAGGTAAGCATTATACCTGTACTGAAACATGAGTAGAGTGGTTGTAAGTAAGAAGTTACCACATTATTAAGTTATATTAAGAAACTGTCAAGGATGCCACACATGGGTGTAGAAGACTAACTGATCAAGCAAAAAGAGTTCTATTTCAGCTGTAATTTAATCTATTATGGAAAGTGAAGCAATATTTCTTACAGTACTGAAAAATTTCCAGCAGTAGGCTGTGAAGATTGTTACAGGACAGAATTAAGATTTTGTGGATATATAAGAACTGTATACACCCATCCTCTCATTGTTTTGCTATAGCTTAAATTTATCTCCCTTTTACCATTCTGTCTCAAGGCTCAAATCTTCATTATTCAACTTTTCTTGATGTGCTATGAATACAATCATTTTTGTTCATAAGTTCACATTTTAACTCAAGAATTTTTGAATTCTGTAATAACATGTGACTATGAAATTATTTCTTCAGCATTTCAGATTATACCCTGGGAAGCATATATTCACTAGAATATCAGCGGAAAATGAAAAGAAATCGCCCGAAGGTTTATAAAAGATTGAAAGAATTGTATGACAGGTAAATGTCAATATCTTTTAACAAAGGAAATTTATGTGATGAAAATGTATGATAGAATCATGGAGACTTCATATTATGTAAGGGGTGTTAAGTGTATATTTAATAAATAACTCGCTGTTCATAGTTGTTTTACGTCAAGATTGTAATGTTGAAGAATGTTTAGGACCCCTGTCATTTGAATGTTATAATGTTACATAACAAATTGAACCTTACATTACATCTTCAGGTACAATAATGCTGTTAAAGCTGGTGAAGATGTAGGAGTGATGATGCGACTTGCTAGTGAGGTTGATCTGTCTCCAGCGCTTTTAGCACGAATTATTTTAGAGAAGTATTATGAAAAGCACCCAGAAAAAAGTACTGAGCCTGGTAAGTAATAAGTATCATAATAGTTACATTCTTTCTTGATTGATTTTATAGATATTTGTAATAATAATGTAACTTGATATAGGATTTGAGACTTCGCGGCGAGTACAATCAATAAAATCTTCTTGGGCAATCAGCAGCATAAACTATGGTAACCAGTTGTCGCAGCTGATTGCCCGAGAAGATTTTATTGAATGTTACTTGAGTTATTAAATGTAATCAGTAAAATAATGGCAGTTTCTTCTGATGCACTGATGACTCACATTTTGTCATCACATATTTCTTTCACTTCTTAGAAAGCAGAACATCTGGTTAGGTAAATAAAAGATTGATCATTACCAGTAACTTCTGATGGAAATTTGGATCCAAGCAGTAAGTGTTTTGCCATCCATGACTGATAAGAACTTCCACAACCACACCACATTTTAGGAAGCAGTAAGTTGGCAGACTTGTAGTTTGTATCTTGTTTATTTCAGTCACAAAAGGCTTTATCACAAAACTGATGAAGGACACAACTCTGATCAAAGACAAAGATCTAGCATATGAAGTATATCTGGTAAGTAAGAAATGTTATATTATAACATGGGTATTTCATTTACAAACTAATAGTTTATTTTTTTATATTTGATAGCTTGTTAAATCTGGAGGACCATATGTCTATTTTTTTATATTGATTTTACATTCTTCCATTTTTTATTTTACTCCAAACAATCAAGTTAATTTGCACATCTTCAGTACTAGTGTAGACCAAACATACCAACGTGGGGCTTATGGAGTGATTAAGTGTAGGAACCAACACAGTATATCAGAAATGAAAATAAATTAACATTTTTTGTATAAAGGTGGTTCATATCTTTCTTTTTTTCAGTGTGTCATTTATGATGACCAGTATGGATCAATATCTGATTGTATCAAACAGTAAGTTCCTATCCATACTGAAGGTTACCATATTATGTAATATAAGTCACACACTTCTTTATTCTGCTTCTGTTGTAACAAAGGAAGGTTGCATGAGTATAAGGAAAATGTTGTACAGCTACTTCATCAGAAATTGCGGTTGATATTTTTTATAATGTGGCGATTGTGAAATTTGTTTTTATCAGTTCTATAGGCCAGGAATATGAGTTACGGCTTCAGAGAATGGTAAAGGACTTGAATATTGCTTTCCGGGATGAGGAACATCTTAGGCGACACGGTTATGATAAGACACCAGACATAAAACTAGAGATACCAATTGCTGTGGATGGATTTGTAGTCAATTGGATTGAAAGCAAAGCTTTGTTTGGTGATGAAGAAGGTCATAACACATATTTTAAGGATCAGTATCTCAGTTACTGGAATAGGTAAGGAAAAGACAAAAACATAAAAAAAAACCATTGGAACATATGATACAGTAGATGTGATCATAACATGTCACCACATAAGTTACACATATCACATTATGACAGTCATTGGTTATCATGATCACAGAAGAATATTTTTCATGGTTGTTATATTTTCACTTTCTGTTTTCATAGATGTCTCATAAATATGTCATGATAAGAACCTGAACGTTCGTAGTGTCACAAATTCACGTATCTCTCTTATGGTACAAAATTAACACATCTGCTGAAACTTCTCATACATAAAAATGTAAATCAAAGCATTTTATTGAAATAAAAAACTTGTAAAGAATCACACATTTAACTTTAGATGAGGTGATGGTATTAGAGTAACTATGTATCCTGTTTTAGGTTTGGTCCAGGATTAGTGATATATTGGTTTGGCTTTGTTGAAACACTGGAACTTCATAATGAAAAATGCATCATAATCCGTGAAGATTTCCCAACTAATATAACATTAATGGATCCTACAAGTATAGAACCACACCCTGTTACAAGCTGAGACAAGTGGAAGTTACATGTTTGTATGTTGACATCGGAAGAAAACAGTTTGCCAGAAAAAGAAAATTTTATTAATAGAATGGTGAGTCAGTAAGTGAATTTAAGTATAGCTTCCACAGTATTTTATTCCAGAAACATGAATATTAAATATTTTTAATGTAATTTACTTCATCTCATTGTCTTACCATATTTTCTTAAGACAAAGGAAGTGAGAGAATATTTCTTCATCTTTACATCTCAATTTGATTTAGAGATCTCTTTCTTATTCTTCCTTTCTGTATGATGTTTGAAGGCTTTGTCCGTCTCTCACAATTTTAGGAATCAGTCCACATAGTCCAAGTAAATTATTAATTCATGACATAGGTTATGTACTGCAAGTGTAACGCTTCTTTCTATAATAAGAATCCATGCATTGAGAATGCATTCTGTGGACTTGTTTAAAGCAAAACTCATCATGATTTTATAAAATTACATATTTTAAAGTCAGTACTTTTAAAATAATTGCAATAAACAACTATAAATATACTTTAATTATGGGTCTAGCCACTGTATATTATGCAGGATTTGCAAAGAGAGTTCATAAATAATATAAAATTTCAGCTTTTTTAAAGTATAACACTGAAAATGTTAAAACACGGTGTAAAATAATGACCTTAATGTCAGTATTACAATTTCATTACTTCATCCCTGAAGATTGTAATGCATTCCTGACATTTTTAACCATCTACAACACCACACAGTGTCACAACCCAAAAGACTTCAATCGTTAGTGAGCAGTTCATGTGATTAAGTCTAATGATTGTGTAAGTGAAAATAATTTAAAAACCACATTGCCAAAATCTTAAAACCTTGCACACCGTGCAGTGGTGAATATTTATTTGGAATATATAAAATCATGCATACAAACGATATCTCATGAGGTCGAAACGCGTTTGGCACCAAGTGTTTTTCAAAGTGTAAACAGTTTTGTTTGTATCTGTGATTTTGTATATTTTAGATACACATTGTCAAATATATAAAAATGAAAATAACATAAATAAAATCCTGTTGCATATATATTTGGCCAGCAATTCTAATTTCAAAGTCCATGTTCAATTTCCAGAATAAAAACATTCCTTGTTATATAAAAGGAGGTAATCTAATTTTAATGCTGCTTTTTAAATTTTTAATGTGTTTTTGCCACATGAAATAAATGGAAGTTAAAATGAACTTAACAAAAATTGCTACCAGTCTAATATACAACTATGTTAGAAAAGTCCAAAGTATATACCATAAGGTCTGGGGCACTTTGCTCATCCACACAGACCTTAAATTCATCCTTGTTCATAAATACCAAAAAAAAGGATGTTACCAAGTTTCACATCTTGATAGATAAGATACTTCATAAAATAAATATGAGGTTACTTTAACAACTATGTAAAAATAATTTGCATTTTATGGCACCAGTTGATTGCATCAGCTGTACCTCCAACCAATAGGTTTCCTACAAGGCGGCGCTGACGCAGGCCTCGTAGCTGAACTGTCGGTTACAAATTTGTTTCCATGTGTAAATTTATCCTGATACTCGGTCATCCAGATGCTGCTATGATTCACCACACCCTGAAAAAGCATGATATAATAAGTAATAAATGCATTGGTAACATATTTTTCCACAGCAGAGGAACAATTACTTTAGCAGTGCTTTTATGTTGCTGCCATGATGTTATTCGGTACATTTTTAATAATGGAGATTCATAACTACATGGAAGCAATAAAGAAGTTACTTGAAGGGCATTTCATTTTCCACAGCCACTAAACACGTGAGTTAAAACACACTAGGTTAGTTTTGTGAATTTGAAACAGCGTTAATTTGAACACGATCCATTGCCTAAGGTGTATATATTAAAGCTTTAACATTCAGTAACTCTTCATTTTGCCCACAGAGTATATTTATGGAATTTGGATGACTCTCGGAATAAAGTGATTGTTTCTGTCGACAGCATTAACCAGTTGATCTTTTTAACGGAAAAATGTCGTGTTTCTTTGAGATAGGAACGGAAGTTTTAAATAATATTCAGATGAGTTCATGCTTAAAATGACTAAATGCATCATGTGGTTAGAAATACGTAAGACTGAGCATGTACTGTATTCTGATGAAGTGACAGCTCATATAATTAGCATACACTTACTGCAGTGTCTAGGGTAACTTGTTGCCTTCTTTTCTGAGCTGCTTCAGCTAAATACCTCTCTATTTCTTTCCTTCTCCTTTTCAGTGCTAGAAGAGCTGAAGTATACACCTAGACAAATTTATAGTAATTATAATTTGCTTATTTAATATCAGTTTCACTTATAAACATCAACTAGTGGAAAAGACCAGTCAAAATTGAACAGTGAATGATTTCTTTCATATCTTCAGTTTCAATGTATTTTGACTATGATTTTATGGTTTTTCTGTACAATTAACAATGACAGTGCAATTTCACTATATAAACTTTCTACTTTGTTTTTTATATTAATATTTTTATAAGGGCTTGGAGATGTTCATCACTTTTCTGTCTTCTGCGCAATGAAAATGTGTGTGTAGGTGTTTAAGGGGGGTGAAGAGTATTCTTTCAGAAATATTTCTTGTTAAAATCCTGTAAAGAATATCAGTTTTGTAATAAACATACCTCAGTCTCTGGAGCATATACATTATATGTTTTTTTCTGTCCAACATTTCTATCAGAATCATTCCATCCAAAGGGAGCAAATGGTGACTTCTTCTCATCAAAATATGCCTTTTGACTGGTCCTTGTAAGTCCAGATGTCCGAGATGAGCTTGGTTGTATACGTGTTTCTGAACGATTTTCCGCCTTATTACTGACTCTAGTTTGAGAGTCTGGCTCTTGAATTGTGATACTTCGATGTGAAGATACAGCAGAATGTTGTTGCTCCTTCATTTTGTGTTCTTCTTCTGATTTGGTGACTGTATTCAAACTCTGTCTCACGTTCTGGATCTCATTATGTGATTCATTCTGTTGGCTAAACAACAGGCCAGTGAATTAGGA